CTCACAGGATCCTGAAAAAGCAGAAGCTGTTACAAAGAGGTCTCATCCTCAAACCCTTTAACCTGAATGCATTTGCATACATGTATCTACAAAGTAATGAAGAACCTTTTCTAGTTTCCTCTCAAGGATCTCAGTGGTTTCTACAATTTTAAATACAACCGAAAACTTAACAAATTTCCATTTCTAGACCAGACTCCTATACTCGAAGTTGTCACGTGAATGTCTACTTCACAGAGGCCAGGTTCTCAAGCTGCACTCTTCTGAAGGTTTGATTATCCCCGACACCTGGGACTTCCCTCTGCCTTCACCAGTCTTCCCTACCTGGACACCAGCACTCAACTGCAGACAGTTTAGAACTTGGAAACCACTGATTTCTCCATGTCTCTCGCATTAGGGACAGCTAATGAAGGTCCCTCCACGGGACATTCTGCCTGTCCATGTCCCTTCCACAGCTACTGTAGCACTCTGGGCCACACAACCTTTTCACTAAAACTATCACACAAATCCTAAACTGGACTCCTGCTTGCTCCTGGCTTCTTCAACATACCACCCACGCTATGACAAGAGCTGCTAAGGCCTAACTCTGAACATCTAAGCTGAATGAAGAGTGCCTGGGCTCTGGGGCAGGGAAAGGACAGGGAGTTTTATAGAACAGGAAGAGGAGGTGGAGGGGAAGGAGGGAAAAGAAAATTAGAGATCAGAGAGGTTCGAAATGCACTAGAGATAACGTAACTGGAAGATGGCCAATGTGAAATTGAACACAGTGAGAAACTAAAAGTCGAGCTAAGAAGCTAGCGTAACCGTCATGGCTGGACTGTGGACCTCAGCCCGCAGAGGCAAACTCCATCCCCTCGCTGACCAAGCAAATGCTATGGTGCACGGTCAAAAGACGCACCTCCCGGTCCCAGCTCTCCATCCTCAGTTTCTTCCACTGCTCTCTCTTGGAAAAGTAATCAGGATACACTGCTTTCTCAGAAGGATGCCAGTAATCTAAGCACCATTCTGGAACCTGCCAAAAGAGAAAAGCATGTGTTATTCCACAGGCTAACTATAAATAGCATGGACAAGGCCTGCTCAGGAGACAGAAGACAAAACTCAAGGGGCTGCTATCAGTTATCAGCTGGTTCAGTTGGTCAAGTTACTTTTGGTAAGGTTTGCTTACCAAACTCAACCATGAGAACCTGAGTACAGAGTCCCAGAGCCCATGGAAAAGCAGGCATGGGGATGAGCACTTGTGATCCCAGTGATGGGCCAGAGAAGACTTCTAAAGGCATCCCTGGCCACCCAGCCTAGCCACAAAAAAAAAAGGGGGGGGGGCAGGTTCAGTAGAGACCTCATCTCAAGAAATAATGAGCAACTGAGGAAGAGCCCTATAACTGAACTTGATCTTGGCCTCTACCAGTACCTCCACCAACACTAACACATTCATGTATCATACACCACATATTCGTATATATTAGTGTATGCGTCTATTTAAAACAGTTACTATCCGACTGTTTCTGACTGTAAGCCATGAATAGAGGAGGGCAAGCAGAGACCAGAGGTAAGAGAGAATGCCTTAAAGAGCCATGTAGCTGAAACATTAAAGGCAGTCCAAGAGAGCTGGTGCCCCTCCTCTCCGGCTTGCATCTACTGAACACCAAGGGTTATGGAAACACTACCTGAGTATCAGCAATGCTCAGCACCAGTCCAAACTGGCTGACTTTAAGTTCCCCAGATGAGCTATGTACCAAATCCTTTAGCACTGTACTTTGCCAAAAGAACACTGCAAAACCTTACAGCTGAATTCATGAAAAGAGTTCAGCCTGTCAGGGGAAATTTAGCCACGGCTCAAATGGCACATGGTATATAAGGTGGAGGTTTGGGACCAGGGACAAGGCTGGTGTCCTGTAAAGCAGCTGCCATGTACTCTTCGCCTACCTTGTAGCACTCATATCTCTCATAGGAAGTGCCCCCAGGAGAGTCTGGGAAGATATACGGCTGAGGATGCTGATTCTGCCAGAATTCTTCTTCTGCCTCCCTCAGCAGCTGGGTAGCTCTCACCATATCCTTCTCATTCTTATGTTCTTCAAAGCGGGCTCTCATCAAGCAAGCAAAGTACCGGTATTTGTCCCTGAAATCGAAATGGTTGTGGCCATCAGAAGAGTGATCTACTTGGCTGGGCAGCACTCTTATCAGTGCATCCCAGATGAGCACCTTTGTGGCACCTCACCAACTTCAGGTCACCGTGAGCACTTCCTCTACGTCCCTCCGAACAGCAACAGACGCTGTACTGGCACAGCTGAGCCACTTCCCTCGCATCAGTAACGGACGCAATGCATTAAGTACAGCCTAGCTATTTTCCTCTCTCCTCCAAGGATTTCCACCGGAAAGGAAAAGGTGACAACTTCTGCAGGTCCATTCGATATGCACTTACTGACAACTACCACTCACTGACAGTACCACTACTCATCCTCTGCTAGGTCATCCGGACATCTCCAGACTTTGGCACAGCATCTAGCAGAAGATGGGAAGCCCTGTGGTAGTTGTCAGACAAAACCTAAGCAAACGAAACAAAATACCCATCCAGAGACGGAGCCTCTCTAGATTACGGCGAAACTAGCTGTATATAGTCTGGGGTACGTTACTTAACATAAAGGCTGGCATTCACATCCCATGAGCTAAAAATACAAAAGCACACTTCACAAAACGGTTGGCGAATTTCAAGTGCTCCGTTGATACAACAGGCATTACACCAGAAAATGATTTACAAAAAGCAGTGTCCAATAAGGTCTGATGCATGAGGATGTGTGTTAGAGGCAGAAGGGAAACTAGGAAATCCTTGAGGTTAAGTCTAGACTACTGAACTGCTAGTAATGTCATTAGCTGGGACAGAGAATTTGAGAATACAATCAGTGTGAGGAAGTGAAAAAAAAAAAGCTTGGTTTTAAAGAATTTGGATGAACTCAGTTTAGCAAATAGCAGATGACCTCATAGACAACTGGAAATACAGCTAATTCACGTACCAACACTGAGGACATCCATGGGAGACACAGCACCTAAGACAGAGCCTCAGGTGGAACCAGAGAATGTCCTAGAAGACAAATGAGGGCTAGGAGACATGGCTCAGTAGTTAAAGTACCATGCAAGCATTAGGATGGATTTTGGAGTCCCAAAACCCACGTAAACTGGACATGGGAACTCATCAGTGGTCCCAGTGCTCCTCCTCAGGATGACAGGATGTGACAGAGTCCCACAAGTTGACAGGCCAGCTGGCCTGGCAGACCAGCAGTGCACTGTCCCAACAAGGAGGAAGGCAAGGACTGACACTTTAGACTGTCACACATGCGATATCCACACTGGTTTTTTGTTTGTTTGTTTGTTTTGCTTTGTTTTAAGGGAACCGATTCGGACAAGGACTAAGAAAAGATATCAGCTTTTAAATGTCAGTGCTGTCATAGTAGTTTGATTATTCCATGAATATGAGCCCTAATATTTCCAGCTGTATGCATTACCTGAATTCTTGAAGGCTTAACCTCTTTAGTAACACTGATAATTCTGTTATTTATGATCTATCACTTTCCCCGTTAATCCATGGGGACTGCAGCTTAAAAAGAGGATTAACTGCTATTTACTTGCCATCCAGAACGGAAGCGGAATTGCAAATTCTATTAAACAAGTAAGAAAAACTTAGGAAAGAAGCTAACAATTGTACAACGTTGTACACTGCACCTGCTTGCATAACAAGGAGGTGTAACCACAAACTTGCATTCTAGGGTTTGGGGTTACCCTCTGCAGGTCTTGCGGGGCTACTTGATTTTCCACCGTTTTCTTGGAAGTCCTTCATGTGGGATTAAGTTTTAGGATAAGAATGTGGTGGTCCGAGCCGGGCGGTGGTGGCGCACGCCTTTAATCCCAGCACTTGGGAGGCAGAGGCAGGCGGATTTCTGAGTTCGAGGCCAGCCTGGTCTACAGAGTGAGTTCCAGGACAGCCAGGGCTACACAGAGAAACCCTGTCTCGAAAAACCTTTAAAAAAAAAAAAAAAAAAAAAAGAATGTGGTGGTCTGGGATTTACACATCTTGGGTTGTAACTGCACCTTCCATTTCTTTTAGGTCATGAAAGTCTACATGTTTTAACACTATATTGTTATTTGTAAAAAGGATATTTTTGGGTAGCGTGAAACTCATTATGTAATGGAGAATCTATCTCTGTCTCCCCCCAATATATGCCACAATATGAGACTTAACACGAAGACTAGTAACAATGGTTAAAGGAATAAAATTATGTAGGAGGTGAAATAGACGTGACAGTAATGAGAAGGGTCGATCCGATAAAGCCAAATAGAGAAAAGCCGATGGTAAGCGGGAAAGAGAATACAGTTTTTGCGACAGAAACCTAAATTTTAATCTTGACTTGGCCACGCAGAAGCTGAACAATCTCGGGCAAGTCAATCCTGGGCTTGCTTATCTGTAAAATAAGACTAAAATAGTCACTAGTATCTGAGTTACTTTGCAAACTAAGGACAATGGACAAACTACTGTTAAGGTTAGGGACGACAGAGTCATATAAACATTGGCGTTAGATCCATGACAATGACAGTCCTAGGTATTTTTTATTTCTTCATGCAACCTTCTACGCTGCATTCGGGTCGCGCCCCACACAATCATCTGCGTCAGATCAAGAAGCAGAGAGGATAGCATCAGGACCCAGGTTCAAGGGCGGGCTCCCTTCACTGTGTTCCCAAGTCCTTGATCAGCCCGGTCCACAGGGCCTCTCGGCTTCCGTCCCCGAGCCCCGGGTCCCCTCTCCCCACCTGTGGATACACCATGACTCGAGGTGGCGCAGCGCGCGCTTATAGAGTCGCAGCACCTTCTGCCGGTGGGTCAGGTAGGCCGGGGGAGCGGAGAACGCCATTGCGCCCCGCTAACCTTCAGCGGCCGCCGCAGGGGCTGCCGGGAACCCGGAAGCGGGCGGTTGCGAGGCGGAGCCGGAAGGATGAGCGTGCTCTAAGCCACTTCCGCTTTTTCCTGGGAGGAGCCTGCCGCGCTGTCATGAGTCTCTTCAAGTTCGTGGGTAAGGGCTAGTTTTCCTTGGCCGTGGGCCTTGCTGGCTGTCCTGGGCCCCCTCTTCGCGGCTTGACCTTTCCAGGGTACGGAAGATGCCCGGAGGCCTCGAGTGCTGGCAATGATTGATTGCTCGAGAATGGTTTCCCGAGTATATATTCATTATGAGAATTCATGTGCTATGCATAATTGTAACTTGTGCTTTTTTTTTTTTTTGGTCTCCCACCACTCAAAAAAAAAATTAAAAGAAAAGAAAGCACCACCCCTAAGCTAATTGCTATTCTTCTGTCTTTCGTGAACCCTCCCTCTTCTTCATGGCCGACCGGACAATACCTTCAAGGTATCTGTTCACTCAGACATCCCTTCATATCATAGACAACGCTGGGAGGCTTGGCATTGAGTCCTAGAAATGTGGCCAAGTCCTGCTCACAGGCTATCTAGACATAAACGGGAATCCACAGACGGGAGAAGGTGGCAAATTGTGTTCCCTGCCAAGTTCCACGATCCATCCAACAGCTGGAGAGTGCAGCAAGGATTCAAAATGATACTTAGGAAAACTTGGGGGACACTGTAAGAGGTAGGGCTGGGAGGATAACTTGGAACCCAAAAGTCTCGATTACTTAAATTTCACTCTGTATGGAGTGGAGTTTCAATGCAGGCTTCTCAGCAAAGCTTTGAGTGCCAGTTATATGGAAAGAATCTTGCCTTCTGGGATGCCGGTGTGAGTAATCTCAGCATGAACGTTGTCTTTGTGGAGTTTCCAGCTACTTAAGGGTGGGAAGTGACAGGGAGGAGGTTACCTTGATAGTTGTTTTGTAGATTTTGTGGCACTTAAGGGGAAACATGGAAATATTTCGGATTTTGCAACAGGGAAAAGAATAGAAAAAGAGATGTGGAACGGTTGTGCACAGCATTTAGCATTGACTGTTCATGTCTGCTTGTGGAAAATAAACACCCAAAGACGACGGGTTAAGAGATAGCTGTAGGTGGGAAGGCCATCCCGGTCTATTGGATTAGGTCCATTCGCGAATTAAAGGACATCCAAATGGAGACATCATCCAAGCACTTAGAAGGTTATACAGTAAAACCTGAGATAGCTTAAGCAATATATTTTCCCAAGGCACTGTAATTAAAGTTGGAGCTGTGAGTAATCTGTGAGTTAGTTTTCATACTAAAGAGGTAAGTCCTACGACCAGGCAAAGCAAATGTGAGGAGGATGTTAGCAACAACAACAAAAAAAACCTCTGTGAGAAAGCCTGAAGTGAAGATTAGGTGTTCTGGGGTCCGGACATGATGTGCTAGGAAGTGGTGTGTCCTGGAGAGGCCACAAGAGCCCTCCGTCCTCACCTCATACTGTGTCTGGACCTGTTACTGGTTGTTAGAGTCTAGGCTGGGTGTTTCCAGGTTCTTGATCTCTTATCCAAAGAACTAAAGAGAAGAGCTCACACAGATTTACAAAAGAAGCAAGGAAACTTTATTTTGTGAGAGATAATATAAAAGAGTAAAGCTTCATAGTTTTTTTTTACTTGCAATGTTATAATAAAATTTAAAATATAGTTAATGTTGATTTGAGTGTGTAGTAGAGAAAGCAGTTTTTGGTTTTTTTTTTTCCATTGTCTTACATCTTGTTATTTGAAAGCAGCCTTAGCATTTAAAAAAAATCAGTGTGTTCATGCTCCAATAAAGTTTTATGGACATTGACTATTAAACTTAAAAAAATAGTTGATTTATTTTATCCACGTGGGAGTTGGTATGTGTGCAGATACCTGTGAAGGCCAGGAGAGGGAGCCAGATCCCCTCAAGCTCTTAGAGTCATGGCAATTGTGAGCCATCTGATACGGATACTGGAACCAAACCTGGGCCCTCTGGAGAAGCAGCTAGTACTGCTGAACCATCTTTCCAGCCTTGAATTGTTGTTGTTGTTGTTGTTGTTGTTTTAATAATTTTCACAGGTAGAGAAATATTCTGTTGATTTTTAAAAACAATTTTAGAATGTTCAACCATTATCAGTATAGGGACTAACAAAATAGGCAATAAAGCCAAGTAAGGCAGTGCATACCTGTAACTTCAGCACTTAGGGCCAGAGGCAGAGGCAGAGGCTGCATGATGAGGCCCCATGTCACAGTAACAGCATTAGCAAGAGGGCAGACAGCGGCTGCAGGAAGGAGGTCTGGCTCCTCTGCGTGGCATCCTTTTGTTGATAGTTTATGTATTTTTTGGCACTGACTTGCTGAAGATACTGGGCTGCTTGTCTGACCTTTTGGATTTGTCTTTTTGCTCAACAGTGGTGCGAGTCCCTTGTTCTCTAATTATTGAGAATTCCTAACCTTGAAATTATACCAAAAGGATAACAGAGCCCAACGCCATTTTAAATCCCTTGTTTACAGTCTCTCTGTGTTCCTAAATCATAGGTGACAGTCCCTTGACATGATTGACTAAGCCCAAACAGTTTGCAGGTACTGTTTTCGGTCAGAGAGCAACAGAACAAACACTTTCCTACTTTGTTTGGTTTTGAAAAATAAACTGATTCCATTAGTTTTTTTTATTAACGACAGACATTTTTAAACAATAATGAAGTGGAGATATTCCTGTCCTATATAGCAGGACTTACTAGTGTCTGACCCCTTCTATCAGAAGGACATAGTGACTGCCAGTGTTACTGTGTTTGTCTCTCAGTCCTTCTCACTTGGTTTCCTACTTCTCAAGATATTCACATCTTTGACTGACCTAGCTAAAAGTTGTTTTTTTATATATACTATTTATTTGCTTTTGAGTTTACTTGCCAATAAGCATACTTTTGATTAAGAATGCTTTTAGTTTACAAGGTACTTGTCATAGATCAGCACATTTTGAAGAAGTGAAATAAATAGGATTTTAGCTGCCTTTAGTTTTAATAGTGGGCATAGCCGCCTGTCTGTAGTTTTGGAGCTTGGAAGGTGGGGCAGAGGATCTCTAGGCTAGTCAAAGTCTAGCCATATGAGCAACTTCAAGGTTCAGTTGAGAAACATTACCTCAATGAATGAAGTGAAAAATAACAGAGGAAGACGCCCCAATATCTCTATTTAGCCTACACATGTGTGTGTATCCATCTGCATACATGTGGGTGAAGATGAGTAATCATTCATGTATGCATACTGCACACATGTACACACCGGGGAAGAGTCAGACCACTTGACTCAGTTGGCTCTTTGATAACACTGTTTTGCATAGGAGCCTTTCGTATTGAAGATTCTAGGACAGCATGTAGAACATCTGGAATTCCATATGTTGTTGGCATGTTACAGTCTTTGTACTGTGCTTGGTAATAGTAATAAATGCCTGTTATAGAGCTTTCGATGTGCAAGTTCCTTTCATCTTCATTCCTGAATTGGAGTTCTATTCCGTTGCCAGAAGGAAGATTCTGCTCATCCACCAAGAAGATAATGGAGGCTGAGCAGGGACCAAGATCGTTCACTGATAGCCACCAGTGGGGAGAATTCTGACTCCAGAGCTCACTTTTGTTCCACCACTGAGTAATTGTAGTCATTTCATTGTATTGTTCTTCCTGAGACTTGTTCATAGATAGAACTCTTTCTAGTCAATTTACTTGAAATTTTCTTTGGCTCCTCTATATCTGTGCTGAGTATTTCCACAGATGTTTCTGGTAGGTGGGCTGGCGAGGAAGTGGCTTCTATCTGAGAGCATTTTCTGTGGGAGACTTGGAGAAGGTCTTAGAGGAAACTGGTGTGATTCACACCGAGTGGAGGGACAGAAGTCTTTTGCCATTAAACTTGGTAAGGTGGTAAGGTGAGGCCGTGAAGAGGCTGTTGTTAGTTTGTCTATCAAGGGGATGGTGGTCCTAATCATGCCAGAAAGAAGCAGGGTGAGCACTGTGAGTCAAGATGCCTGTGGGAAAGGGAAGAATGGGTGGCTGAGCACTAGCACTCAAGGTATACCAGGACTGGATCCTCAGCTTGAAATACACTGTGTCTAGTCTAGAACCAGTAGACATCTCAGAACTCTGAGGAAGTAAGTCATGGGGGTCAGCCTTCTGCCGCCTGCCTCAGGGTAGGTAGTCGCTGCAGAATGTCCGAGAGCTTCTCTGTCCAGGGTTGAGACAAGGCTGTTCCGAAGCCGAGCCTGCAATTCATTTTCGGTTCCCTTTTCACTTAGAGTTGAGTTGTTTATGGGTTTCACTTGCTTTAGGTTCTATTATGTTTGGAAAGTTCTGACCACTTTGCTGATGATAGACTTCCTTGAAGAGACTGGAGCCTGACTGCCCTTGAAGTAACCGATTGACTTGGTCCCAACATTGAGTTCTTGCTTCAGATATCCAGTTAAGTGAAAATCCTCACCCTGGTGTCTGTCACCCTCAGTTCCTCATTCCCTACCCTCAGTATTCCTGTCAGGAAGGATGTGTCAAGTTGACTTTAGTTAGAATCCTTCCTTATACCTCCTGGACATCTTAGAAACTTACCAAGGATCCTTACCGTTCCCTGGCTCTTAATTCTCCCCTTAGCCTTGTTTTGGGGTTTGAGCCTGATCTCTCACTGCTCTACTGCAGTACCCTCATTACAGCCAGGTGTGGTGGCCATGCCTCCAACTCCAGCTCTGGAACACCCAGGCAAGATCCCGCCAAGTTTGAGGCTAGCCTGGTCTGAGTAGTGAGTCCACTACTACTGAGTAGTGAGTCTTAAAAATCAAACTTAAGCAAAATAAAACCCTCTCATTGCAATAATCTCTTTGAAATAAAGGTCCCTTGATATCTTTAACAGGTGTCACAAATAAATACCATAATAAATTTATCTTAATGAAATTTTACAGATTGTTAAAAAGTGGAAGGAGCTGGAAAAGACTAAAGTGATCTAGGCACGTTTGTCTGTTGGGTGGTGACTGGTGACCACAGTCCAAACCCTTGCAAAATTACTCAGGCAGAAAGGTGTCTAGCCCCCCTGCTTCTTTCTCAGTTTGTCTCCTTTATCTAATTTTCTTGCTGTATTTGAAGAAAAACTAGGTGACTTCTTGTAAGCACCAGTATTCCACAAAGCTGTTGTACTTGTGATGCGGATGTGTTTGGTGGTCTTTGTCTCATAGTAGTCCTCCTAGGCTACCACCTCATCCGTCTCTGTTGCTATGCACAAAGATTTGGAATTATCTGCAGTGCGTGTGTTTTCTTGCTAGTTCAAATGCCTAGAATTCTCTTCTTCACTACCTCTTGGATTATCCAAATTCCTGTTCACCTCTGAAGGTCTGTCACAATGTTGGACCAGTACATCCCAAGGTGCAGCTTGGCAGAAGCCTCTCCTGTGTGCTCCCATACATGTAGGAGTTATGTGCAGACTGAATGCACCCCACATGCCAGTGTCTATGCTAGGTTCAAGCAATGCAATGATGAAACTGGGGGGATTTCTTGGCTTCATGTTGCTTCCGGTGTAGCTATACATTATATTAGTAGTTTCCATGAATACTGTGCATTCCCATAGGGTAAGGACCAAGTATTATGTATATTTCCTAACATATTTGGAGTATTCTGCATTGTGTAGTTTTTCTTCCTGGTTCAAATGTCTAGTGTAAAAGTAACTTTTACTCACCTGGTGTAATCGTCATCTCAGAGGCTTCCTGCCTCCATCTGCTAACCTAGGCCTGGTCCTGGACACTTCTAGCCTCCAAACAGTCTTGTCTAGGCCTAGAATGTTTCAGCCTCTCAGACTTACTGTTGAATAAGCTCACTCCTTCCTACATCTTTCTGAGCTCTGGTAGGCTGACTCAACTCAGCTGTTCTGGCTCAAACTCCTCTCCAAGCTGAATGATTTGATCTATCTTCTTTCTCTCTAGGTCTCTGACTTTTTGCTCTGCTTGTCCTCAAACTTTGGCAATTTGTTCTAATCCTCTGGCTCCTTCTCATTCTCTCGTTCATTCTGTCTTCACCTGTGTGTGTCTAGCTTGTTCTCTCTTTGCAACCTCTGTACCACTATCCCAGTAAAGCTGTCTCCTGTCCTTTCTGCACTCCCCCTCAAGTAGCTTCCCTTTCCTCTCTCTTCTCCTGAGAGTTGGGCAGATCCTAGTCTGTCAAGGCTTTCTCTGATCCATCACTTTGTTGCCACTCAATTAGACATCACTTTAAACATGGGTGCTTCCTTCTACAAACTAACTTTACCTTCATTGTTTGGGATTAAAGGTGTGCTTTAAGAGAGTGTCTGTATTCTAGCCAGAGGGATTAAAGGTGTGTGCTAAGGCTAAGCCATCACAGCACAACTAGAAACAGATTTTTCCAGTAAACGACACAATCTCAGGGCTCACAGTGTGCTCAAATGTCCTGCAGCAGCCTAGAGTTCTCGCTTTACTATCTCTAGGGTTATCTAAACTCCTGTTCACCTCTCAAGGTCTGTCATAATGTTGGAGCAGCACATCCTGAGGGTCAGCTTGGCATCTGACACACAGCATTTGACAAAGTCAGCCTCCAGGTGTAGTTGGTGACTGAGGAAGTAATTCCCCTCTCTACAGCTCTACTCTCCTCACATCTCAGACCACTGCACACAAGCTTTCGGGAGTTTCCAGATGAGAGACCCTAACTTCTGTTGCTCCCTTCACACCCCAGCTTCCCATATGCCTGCAGGAAATGTCTTCAGTGTAAATCTTGCTCCTTTGAGTAATACTCATCAGGCATCATTGAATCCAGTATTTTTAACATAAGCATGTGCCATAATTGATCTGTCCTTCCTGGCTAAACCCTTTCCTGTGCTTCTCTTTAGTAACTACAAAACCTGTTATTTCCTGAAGAACTGTTCTGTTTCATACCCTGAAGGCTTACTGTCTTAGTTCCTTTTCTATTGCTTCAAACAGGCACCATGACCAAGGCAACTTACAGAAGAAAAAAATTATGGGGTTCACAGTTCCAGAGAGTAAGTCCATGACCATCATGGTGGGAAGCATGACAGCAGGCTACCAGGCATGGAGGCACTGGAGGCATCACCCCATGGCAGACAAGTGGTGGGGTCAGTTCTGCCACACTTGTGCCCTTGGGGTTGGCTCATACACACACACACACACACCACCACCACCACCACCACCACCACCACCACCAGTGCCAGCTCTGCTGTGCTGCCTCTCCTGAGTAAGGGATGGTGGCATAGGCTTTCGAAACCTCAAAACCCACTCCATGATGTACCTCCTCCTCCAAAACCACACCTCCTAATCCCTCCCAGACAATTCCACCAACTGACCCTATAGGGGCCATTCTCATTCATACCACCACACTGGGTGACTCTGACTCATCTTTAACATTCAGCTCTGGATTATTTCTGGGACCCTCTTCTGAGCCAGCTACCAAAGTCTAGTAGAACTTCCTGTGTCCCATAATAACAGTGGTTTTATGTTTTTAGTATTTCGAGAAATTTATGGACAGTTTCATGTGTACATGATATACTTTAATTCGGTTCCCTAATTAACTTTCCTATCCCCCTCATTGTCTCCATAATTGCCTGTGAATGGGTCTGCGCAGTTCACTTCTGATTGTCTAAAGACTCACTTCTGCCACGAGTCTTTAGAGAGCAGAAATCACGTCTTAGTCCTTGTGTCCCACAGGTCTATTGTAGTAGCTGCCAAGAGTCGACCAGCCAGTTGATACTGCTCAGATGAATGACTGGGTGACTGAAAAGCTTGTTTAGAGATAGTTCAAGTAAATTTTGTTTTATTGATTATCTGCTTTTGGTTTTCACAGATATTGGCATCAACCTGACAGATCCCATGTTCAGAGGAATTTACAGGGGAGTGCAGAAGCATCAAGGTGAGTGTCTCTTTTACTAAGGTGACTTCTATGTAGACAAACTCTCTGCTACAAGGTCTTGAAAGCATAATCCACTCTTAAAATTGAAATCTTAGGGCTGCAGAGATGGCTCAGTGGTTAAGAGCACTGACTGCTCTTCTACAGGTCCTGAGTTCAATTCCCAGCAACCACATGGTGGCTCACAACCATCCTAATGGGATCCAGTGCCCTCTTCTGGTGTGTCTGAAGACAGCAACAGTGTACTCATATATATCAAATAAATAAATCTTTTAAAAACAAATTGAAATCTTAAAGAATTCTGTGTAGCTGAGTACGAGTCTAAAAGCACAACACTCAGAAGGTAGAGGAAGGAGGATAGCAAGTTTGAGGCCAGCCTGGGCTACATAGTGAGAAGTTATTTAAAAAAAAAACAAACAAAGCAAAACCCTCGTCATCATATGTCAGATAAAACAGTGAACTAAGTCTGGCAAGCTCTGTTGGCAAACCACTGTTTTGAACAGCAGGCATGGACCCCAACAATGACTTCCTGTGAACATCAACTTATCAAGTTCTTTTTTTTTTTTTTTTTTTTTTTTTTGGTTTTTCGAGACAGGGTTTCTCTGTATAGTCCTGGCTGTCCTGGAACTCACTCTGTAGACCAGGCTGGCCTCGAACTCAGAAATCCGCCTGCCTCTGCCTCCCAAGTGCTGGGATTAAAGGCGTGCGCCACCACTGCCCAGCAACTTATCAAGTTCTTAAGAAACGTTTTCAGGGGCTCTAGATGGCTCAGTGGTTAAGAGGACTTACTGCTCTTACAGTTTAGTTCCCAGCACCCACTTCAACACTGGGCAGCTCACAGCTGCCTACAACCCCAGGTCCAGGTCCAAAGCCTCTGATGCCCTCTTCTGGCTTCTGACAGCATGTGCATTCGTGTGCACATAGCAGCATGTACACACACACACACACTGAGAGAGATAGAGAATTTAAAAAAATCTTTTAGAAAGGAACAAAATATTTTCAGCCAAGGACAAAGTATGGTAGACAAAAGGTGTGCTGTTGTCTCTTCTCCCCCACCCCTACCCCCCCTTCTTCCTTTCTCTTTCCATCTTTGTCTACCTAGAGACCCAGTGTATAGGTTGGACCAGATATTGTAACTTTAAGTGTAAGCTTCACCAGAAGCAAGTGGTTTATCATATCATATAAATTCTTTTTCCTCTCCAGTCCTAAGAATCAGCCCGGGGACTGATGCAATTAGACAAGTGATGCCCCACTGGGCTGTGTCTCCTACACACAAGTTCATTTGTAAGGTCTGCTGGGTTAGCTGAGAGGTGACTAAGCAGGAAATGGTGGCGACACCAAATTTGAAAAGCAGGATGCGTCTGCTTAGATGTGTCTGTGCACACTGCCTTCGAAGAGCGCCTGTGCTCTATACATGCAAACAGGAATGCTGGCCTTATGCTTGAGGTGACAGAGTTCCACACCACAGAGAGCTAAGTCAGAAACCGACCACGCCAAGTTTCTCCACATGGCTTTCCTGAACACAGGAGACAAGAAACACCAATGTTTTCCCAGGTCTCCCTTTAAAACTTACCTCTTATAGTTCATTTAGACAATACAATAAAGTTTTTGTTGAGTAAATTACATTCTGTTTGCATTGCCTTTGTAGTGCTTAGATTTCATGCTTTGCTGTTGCATGTATATATGCATGCGTGTTTGAATATGTGTTTATGACATAAATTATGCAGTAGTCAGTTATCACTACTACTGCAGTTTATATAATCTAGCAAACTTAGTTGCTATACTCAGTATAAGTTAACTAAGTGATTTTTGTCCTTTGAATTCCAATTTTTTATATATATAATTATTATTATATATGTATGTAAGTAGAATTTTGAATTCTATTTTTATTTACTCTGAAACTGAAGTATGAAATTAATAATTGAGTTTTTATATTTTATTTTGCTGCCCATTATGTTTCTGGCCCTAACAGTGGGTTGGGAAGATGGCTCAGTGTAAAGGACTTTCTGTGCAAAGCATCCGGATCCCCAGCGCACATGTTCACGCTAAGAGCAGCAGCATGTGTCTGTAACCCAGTGTATGGCGAGGAAACACGAGGCTCCTGGGGGCTTGCTGGCCAGTCAGTCGTCTGAAGCAGTGAGCTCCAGTGAAAACATCAGTTATCAAACCAGAGAGATTGAGGAGAATACCCAGTGTAGCCCTCTCGCCTACATACGCACAACACACACACAGAGGGGGACACAAGCATGGGCACACACAGGGACACAGACACACACACACACACACACACGC